TTCTCCAAATCTTCAATTCGATTTGGTTTTTTGATTTTAGTAGCATACTGTAGCCTGACTCAAGTATGCTAATTGTATTGGATGGCGTTTTCCGCCATCAAATAAGGCCGCAGATTTGCTGCTATAGATAACCCTCTAGCATTAGTTTGTGGTACATAAGTCAGAGGAGAGGCAGAGTGTCAAACAGCGTTCACAACTGTAGTCGCCTAATGACCATTTAAGTTCAGTATAAAATACACAACAGAACCAGTGTGCGACTCAATGCTTTCCTCACACCACCCCCTCAGAACACTGCGGGTAACTAATGTTCCATGGGTGAATTATGTAAACCCACTACAAGTGGCTTTAGCGTGAGCTGAGGTCTGTGGAAGTTTGAGGATGAAATAGAGAGTGGCGTTTTTCCAATTGTTAAATCTACATCTTTGTAACACTGGCGAAAATGTCCTGCCAATGTTTGTAGTGTTACCCATGGCCGGGTGTGGTACACGGCACACATAGCAAATCCTTGGCATGTGTGTTCACAGTAAAGTGTCAATTAAAGTACATGGACTTTATAACTCAAAAACTAAAATCCCTATCACAGTAAAAGAAAAAAAGATTTCAAACAAAGACATACACAAGAGTTATTGTGGATCAAATCAAAAGAAAAGGTTGACCAATAAATATTTGGCAAAATTTTAAACAACCAGATCAGCCTTTGCTTTGATAATTCTACTGTGACTCCAGTTACATAGAAAATAAAAGGTCATCAGTCTGACAAAGTGGCAGATAATGGCCAACACAACAAAGTAAATCACTTCATTTAAAAAGGATTAATTTGAAAAATAATCCATACAAATATTAAAGACCCCATGAAAAAATTGTAACGAGCATGATGATTGTCAATTTTTTTTTAAAATGAAATAATGATCATCTGGTATCACATTTAATTGGTTTAGTAAATGAAAGTAGTTATTTCTATGTTCAAGATAGAGATCTTATACTTGTTCTTTGATGCTAGAGTAAGGGTGTATGCAGACCTGAAAAGTCCAAAAAAAGACTCCGGTTTGTATTCAGATTGTACTTTTTGCAAGTGAACTTTTTTATATAAACATATGGACGCGTGTGACGATCGGCGCTCCTATTGGACAGCAAGAGCTCACGGAGATGAGACGCGGAAGCGGAGGAAAACATTCAGCTCGTATGTGCAGCATGTCTGCTGTGCCTATGTTTGCTCTTTTTAGAGCAAAACCACCTTCAACATCAACAGCAGCTCATTAGACAGAGGCGAAACACATTGTTTTAAATATTGGAACAGCTTCGGCGAATGCGTGAGGAGAAAGCCGAAGGAGACTGCGCTATACGTGCCCTGTCCCACACATGGATCTATTATAATAACTCTGTTCCACAACATACTGACAGCAGCATCGTGGATAAACCATGGATCTATAAAAACAACGGGATAAACAGACGACAGAGGGTCAGGTATGATCCAAAGAACACAATTCACTATTTGATACGGGATATTGCTCTTTGAGACGTGAGACAAACAGTGTCAGGCTTTTAATAATGCAAATGATTTGAAGATGCTGCCATTAACATCAATGTATACTGTGAACAGTTTTAACTCCATAAGCCTGTTGCACAGCGTCTCCTCACTGCTCCAGGTCTGCACACGGCTCATTGTTGTTGTGTAGCGTTAGCAGCATAGTTAGCAGCTGTGACGCGTGGCTAATTCCTCAGTTTCTGTCTGCGGCTTGTTAAGCCCAAAAAATGCGGACGTATCTTGGAGTTGTGTCGGATCGACACCGGATGTATTCAGACCTGATTCGACTTGGACCAGAATTAGTTTGGAAGCGGACCGAGACCACCTAAAAAAGTGGGTCTCGGTTCGGTTCTTTGGTCCGGACCAGGATTTGTGTGTGTGTATTCAGACCTGCATAAAAGGTTTGGATCAGAGTTCCAAACGAATCCTGGTCCGTTTAAAGTGGAGCAAATGTGCAGGTCTGGTTACAACCTCAGAGATTGTTTGATTTTAATTAGTATAGAGTCATTGTTCACTTATCTTGTGCTGTGTGCTCCTCATTCCTACTGTTCTATAACTTGTGCAACACTGACATTCCCCACTGGGGGACAAATAAAGGATCTCTTAATCTTAAGTAGTCACGTTGTTTCTAAAAAAAGAATCCATCCATTCATTTTCTTCCACTTCATCTGTTGCCGGGTCGAGGGCAGAGACGCCCAGACTTCCCTATCCACACACACTTCTTCCAGCTCATCCGGGGGGACCCCAAGGCGTTCCCAGACCTGCTGAAAGACAGTCCCTCAAGCGTGTCCTGGGTCTTCCCGGGATCTCCTCCCGGTGGGATGTGCCTGGAACACCTCCCCAGGGAGGCGTCCAGGCCAAAAAAAAAATGTATTGAGCAAATGTGGATCTGAAAATATGTAACAAACTTCCACAGCTCATTCCATCAAAGGCAACAGGGCCTAATGGACAGAAGAGCTATTTCGCTTAATTAAAAACATACTATATCTTCTGATTATTAAAATCTCTTTTGGCGTTCGATCACACTTCTGTACCCTTTAGTGTGAACAAGCTCATATCATAGCATATCTTACACACAGTGGTCTGTGTTGTAGGTGCTGCGACAACAACATAACTCACCGGGAATACAAAATATTCCCATACTGGTGATTTAAGAGAAGCAGGAGCGGCTTCAAGTCTCCTTTATCTGTACTTCCCATGGTGTCACAAACTGCAGGTTAGCTAGCTTTAACTCGTGGTGGCTACAATGTGCTGCGTCGTCATCTCTTTGCACACCACCCTGATGTATGTCAGGCTGGAGGGAGGTGATCCTTGATCCTCTTTTTTTCTCAATTTTACTCAATTTAAAATGTAAAACATTTGAAATTGTGATTGTTTAATCTCTTGATATTGTTCCCGTTCATCCAACTAACCTACCTTCCCTTACCTTTCCCCTTTTGTAATTGAGTTAGTCTCTGTCCCTTTACCAGCCCACGAGATGTGTTCTTTTCATTCTTTAACTTACTTTACTCACATGTGAAAGAAAACATAAGTCGCACTGATAATCCCCTCTGTTTTCAACTATTATTAATCATGTGTGGTTTATATATCTTGAACTGGATTAGTTCAGTTAAATTGTGATGACAATGACAATCTTTTCAACTACTTATAAGCTAACATTTGCCTCTGTACATGTGACTTCATTTGAATGGAACAGTGCGCATAAAGAGCAGCTACTGCTGAAAATACTATGTGACTTATAACAACTGGTAACATTCAGTTTACCGAATACAGAATATTTGCTGCTTCATTCTGAATAATATGCATCCCCAGCGGTATTATGTCTGCCTCGCAAAAAGTTCACGTGTGATATTGTAGAAGGCCCTCTAGTATTACATCCTCATATTGAATATCCCATCCTCACTATAGCCACTAGACTGTATACGACTAAGTCACTTTGTATGCATGTTGTAACTCAGAGAGGTGAGAGTTATTATGTTGCCCAAGACATCTATACTAACACATAATTAAAAAATAGAAGATTTGCTTGTGCGCAATATTTTCACAACAATTGTAAAGCGCTTTGTGACCCTGGTTTGTGAAAGGTGCTATATAAATAATGATTACTTACTTACTTAATTTGAGATGAAGCTTTGAATCTATTCTTGGCTTCTAAATGTTTTATAGAGGAAGTCACGCTTGTAGCGAGTGGAAAAAAGCCAACAAATTTTCTCCTTCCAAGTGACAATTTTACAGAGGAGTTTGTGTCACTCCACAGCAGGGGACAGAGATTTTTCCACACCGTGAAATCCTCCAATAAGACATTGAGGAATAAGTGAGAGAGCTGACCATAACAGACCAGAACCATTTCAATATTTGACAATTATCAAATTAATTAACAATGATAATTATGATATAATTAGGTGTTAAATTGGAAGCCAACTTCCTACAAATGTAGTTAGTTAAATAAAATGTAGAGAAGGATCAAGTTAATGCTATGCGCTTTGGTCCGTTCAGGTTTTCAAATAGTTTGGTTCTTCTCACTAGTTTTCACATGCATATGTTCAGCTTTATCCCAGCTTTACCAGTTCCCACTCAGCCAATCAATAGATTCAATGTTTCCTAATAAAAAAAAAGACAGCATGCATGGTATATTATGGTCACACACAAAAAAAAGAGCTATTACAGCTTTACACGAAGCTCATTAACATTCACATGCCAATGCAAATGATAAGTCCTTCGGCAGGCACAACAACACAAAGGACCCATCCATGATAATACACTGATCATATTATGAATTTCATCCAAAACCAAAATTCACATTCTTCAGAGCTCTCATGTGACCAACACCACGTGAGTCCAGACACCAGCACCCCTCACACTTGCACTGTTACATAAACACAGTGACACACGAAGTCGATACTTCATCACCAAACGTCTCTATTGAATCTGTGTGAAAGGGATGTACAGGGGACCAGTCATTAGTGCTCAAATCTGTGCCAGGGGCAAATGAGGCCAAATCAATTGAGGTCAGTGAGCAAATGCCAGAGCAATTGGAAACAAATTTGAAAGCAAAAATGTGTAAACTTTGGTAAGAAATCATCATGGAAAGAAATTGAACACATTGGTAAAAGAATAACTAGTTACAAATTATGAAAAACACTGAAACATACATTATTTGTGATAGATAATACCATACATACATACTTTGAATCGCAATAACATGGAGCAGTAAATGTCCCATAATGCATCTGTAGTACCTAAACTGTTGCTCTTTTGGACGCAGGATCATGATTCTGTTTTTTATGACAGCGATGCACAAATCATGATCATACCAACACATACCCCGCTAGGTTATAATAACACCATGTTTGCAGTCAGCCCAAGCGAAAAAGATTTCATTTAGCTAACTGTTGGGGATTCCCGCCTTAAAGCTGCACGGAGGTGAAAAGGACAGACATCACTGACAGACATTATTTCAGCAGAGCTTCCTTACCCAGCGCGCGAATCGTAGCAAAGTTTCATGAACACTGGCGTTTATCCCTGGTACACCTGCTGCTGCTGCTGCTGCTGCTGCTGCTCAGGACCTCCACAACAACAACGCCACGGTCACAGCCATGCGTTATATCATCCATCCATCGTCTGTGGTTCAAATGCGGTTGTCGTCTGGTGAACGTGTGTCTGAATGTGGTCTGAATGCGGAGAGCCGAGTATGGCTTAGCCGTGCCTCCTCCCTGGACTGGACTGGACTGGACTGGGCCAGAGAGCTCGGTCCGAGGTGCAGAGGGGGATCCTTCCTTCTCCCTGGAATGTGGTGGGTTTTCGGGGAAGGCGCTAAGTGCTGAGGCCGTGGAGATGTCGTCAGTGTGGTGGTGTCGTCAGTGTGGTGGTGTCCTCGGGATGAGCTTCTTAAAGAGACCGCTGTCCTGGATCTGTGCTGCTGAGGGCTGTGCGGCTCTACAGCGCCCTCGTGTGGCTGAGGTGGGGATCTTAAACTGCAGTGGAAAAAGTTCTTGTCTTTGGTTGCCCGTACAGTATGTAATAATGTCATTTAAAATGACATCTGCATCTTTTATATTTGTCCCCATGAATAACACGTACAAATCATTGATGGCCCTCCTGAATAAAATTTTGAAGTAAATGCATTTGTATTTAAAAATACTATAGACAAGTAGTCTATGATTGAAACACATAAGCAACACATACCAGAATTGATACAAAAGTTCCTGAATTAAGGACACATTCGTCAACAAAATAACTAATAAAATAACACCTCACATATTTAATTGAAATCAGGTACACATAAAAAAAACTTGTCATATGTATTACACAGAGGTTGTACAGTTTCTAGCTAAACTCCAGCTGGTGGTTTGCATCTGTAATTAGTGCTTAGCATCAGTGGTAAGTGTGACAAAGGCAGAAAGATGAATTGTTGTTGCTATAAACCCAGTAAGGGTGTAAACTAAATACACATTTATTCTGGTAAAAGTAAAAGTATTGTATCCATTTGTATTAGTACAAGCTATTGTATCAAAAAAAAAAAAGCTTAAAGTAAAATGCATTTTTGTTGATTACTAGATAAACAATATATTTTCATTTGAGACATTTTAAGTTTTGCCTTTAAACACAAATCATATACTGTTGTAGAAATCTTTAATACTGAGAGAGAATCAGACAGTAAAAGTAACGGTGAAGTAGAACATTGTTTTAAAAATAACTGAACAGTACTTGAGGAAACAGACACAAAACGTCAAAACGGGGATGCCCTGGTCACAAAAAGTTACTTAGAATTTGACACATTCATTTATTATTGAGCAGGGTATATAATGCTATTCAATTTAGCCTATTAGAAAGCATTAAAATACAATTTCTATCAACCAAGCAGCGTTACAAATAAATGATAGATATTATTAGACACCACTGACCTTTGCATGTTGTCATCTAGAAGGACCTTCTGTGGAGCTGTATTTTCTGCTCGGCCACAGAACAACTACTGGAGTGTCATGGAGAGGGAAACGTGGAGAGTGAAACTGGATCAGATGACTTTTGGCCCATGTAGATGAGACCACAGATTACACTGAAGTAATCACCAGTACGTTGTCTGTCAAGTCAGAATATCAATGAGGAGGCGTATCCTCAAACAAATGTGACCCCAATGAACCCACTAGGATGTATTGCACTGCAGTTTTACCGGCATTATGAAAAGTATTTATTTGATACAGGCTAATGTTAAGTTTGGTCACAATGATGTATAGAAGTATCTTATCATTGCAATCTTAGCATTAGTGGCCGGATGAATATGTGCTGGCTACAGGCCTTGTGGTAAAATTACTGGAGTAGTGTGAAGACAGAAGAAAATTGTCTACAAATTGACTGAGTTGGCCTTGGTGTCTATATTTCTCAGTAAAAAAAGATTTACCTTCTCTCTAAATCCAGTATTCTTGTGAACTTTAGATCCATGTTGCTGCCTTTCCTTGTTGTGATGAAGTGAAGGCTGTTTTGAGGATTCATTTGCCTATTCAAATATCTATGACCAGAGTTGGGCTTTTCTACTTTCTATTGTACATAAAGGGAATAATATACAGTAGGCCACAGTATTACTCTACAACTGAGTTAAACATTTGGGTATGTTAATGATAATTGTATAATGGACACCTTTTTTCTACGTTTAAAGAATTATATGTCATCACAGAACAGTGTGGTCTATCAAGGAGTATCCAATTTCTCCTAGTGCACTTGTTAATACATTGAACAAGCATTTCCTGATTTGCTGGAGAGTTTCATGAGAGTTCCTTTATGCTGTTTGAGGACGCATTCACACTTGTTGGTCTGGTTCACTTTAACTGGGCCAACGCTTCACAGATCTGTCTCAAGATGGTACTGGAGAAACTGGAGAAGGTTGACAGAATCATTTACTACATCTCCAAAGAATACATTTTAATTTTCTGTACTGTATGATTTTAAACCCACAGGCCCAATTTAGTCATCACAGCATAGTCAGAATCAGAGCGTGAATATCATGTATTTTTTGTGCCTTTCCTTTTCAACCACTAGAGGTCGACGTTACACTGTCTTGGCGGCGAAGACTTCTCCATTGTGCTGGGTGCCACCTGCAGCTCTCATGAAGCTGAATTATTTATCTGGACTGGCTCTGATGAGACAGATAAAGGCCACAGTTCAGGTTGTTAATACAGAGGTGTGACATACAACTTATTAAATTACAAAACTGATCAACAAAAACGATTTCCTTTATTTGCACTGCTCCTGATGATTATTATGAAAATACGAAATCAAAGACATACTTCTTTGACAAAAATGGCTGGGTTTAATTTGGACATTCATAATGCAGTGTATTCATTGCAATCTTATTAGCTAACTAAAATTAACCAAAGCAAGTTGACCTGCTTTTACACATTTTGGAATACACCCTGTTCTTGTGTTCCCACCTACAGCCCATGATCCCAACACCTTATGCCACTTGAGTGCAGGCCTTGGGTTGCCATGACAGCTAAGCACAATCAGCTCGAGTGAAACCTGACTCTTCTTTCTAACCTTTCACTGGAGCCGCTCACAATAACCTGGCAACCGCTGTATGTTTATATGATCATCTCTGAACTGTGTCAAAATATCTTCACAGGAGATTGATTCCTCCAGGCATCACGTGTTGAAATATTGACAACAGTACAGCAATAATAGCATTCCTCATACATAATGTAGAGCCGATAAGTAGCCTATGTTGAGGTAGGCTCTACTTTCCTCTGGATGCTGGTATTATATGGTAGAAATCCACATATTTGAACTCTTAAAAATGCTAATTCCCATAGAAAACATGAAAGTTGAGTGTGTTAAGTGCATGGGCTTAGTTCAGGAATGCCAGATCCAAACAGCAGCTCTCAGCACTGAGCAGAAGAAAATATAAATGATGTGAGGAAGCTTAAGATCAGAGTCACAGCCTATACTAAAAATATATGTATTTATAAATATCAGAGCTGGTTGAAACATTATTACAGGTGACACAATAGTTTACTGATATTGTATCAAGTTCAAATGTTACAACTTTCTATGTATGTTTTGTTGCATATGTATTAAAAGATGTTTGAATTGTTGTTCTATCACAATTCATACATTTAAATTGTTACTTAAAAACAGTAATTTCTAATGAATACAATTATGTGTTTAATGGGGGCTTTCTGGATTGTTGTCATAGTGGAAAAGGATAATTAACCACTGGCAGCGTACACAGTTGTATCACAGATGTGTATGAAAATGTCTTATACATAGTTTACAATATTGTGAACTTAACTTGGAGGACATAATTCTTATTATTAGATCCAAGATCAAAAACAAAATATATAAATATAATTAAATGAGTATCTCAGGGTCTCTGACTCTCGGGGTTCAAGAGTAAGGGAAGTCTCTGCTCAGCCTCCACGACCAGACACTGGATAAAGCGGACAATGATGGATGAATGAGGAGGAACATTGTGACAGAATTGAAGTTTTAGGTTTTTTTCTTGTGTGGACATTTAATTTGACCTTTTTCTGAAAAATTCTAACAAAAAAACATCAGAAAGAGATAGTAGGTCCTAATATTGACAGGCATTTTAAACAGCCAACACACAGGCAACAGTTTAAAAAATCCATGTCAACTTTATTTTTACAGTCAAGATTGTTTTTGTCTCCAGTGTCTTTTTTTCTTTAAAACCATAAAAAATAAATATACATTATTGTAAAAAACATTTCCAGTGTCTTAGATACAATACAAAAAGGACAATTATCAACATCATTGCATTGAGCCAAAACAATGTGTGTGTGTAGTGTAAATGATGATAGCTGCGAGAAAACTAGCGAGACATTTTTGAGTTTTTAAAAGATAGTTTTATAGTGGGAGATTTTTGCCCAAATGAATCCTTCAGAGGTCCAGCACCTACATTGGCTTTATGGCATTTTATATGTTCATGTTCTCGTAGAGATAAGCAAGTTATGGGTCAGATCTATGGAGAGGAGTAAGAGGTTTTCAATGTCATTTTTTGTGTATAAATAAATGTTTCACGGATGATAAGGGGAATACTCTGGAACAAGCACTATCAAATTTGAAGTTAAAATTGTATTTACTCCAGCTCATAATTGCAAAACTGTAGCTTTGGTTTTCTGTGGTTTGGGTTAACAACACAAATGCATTTTATTGTATATTGACATACTGAACTTTTTTTGTAGAGACTTTTCATAAGAATTAAATTATGAGATGAAAGAAACATATATCTTGGTTAATTGAAAGATGAAAATAAAATCTTTTAACCTGTGAATTTCTTCATAGTGAGAAGAGGTTTGAAATATATCAAGAAGGATACACAATTGTTATTTACGTCCAGTGGATTATGTGTAGGGTGCACAAATCTGAATAAATGTAATTAAATTACAGTGTAATCTGTCAACTGTTGCAGTTTTGTGGTTCATTATATAGTCTGTGTGTATTATTGTGCATTCCTTGATGCTCAGCACTGCCCAGCCCCAAATTAGGTTGTTTTATTATAATGATAATGTATTATTCTATGACCACCAATGAACACAAATGATAATAAAAGCTCAAAATTGTGTGAAATGTGAATCATTATGGATTGTTGGCCTCACTAAACAATAATGACTTCAACAAATTAAAAAAATCCATCAGTGCAGATGACACTGTGTTTACTTCTAAGGCAGTCCACTTTAGTCCTCACTTTTGCAGCTTCGCAAAATAAATCTTCTTCAGTTTAAACATTATTTACAAGTTAATTACACACAACATACATGTATGTGCTATGGAAGAACATAGTAGAGTTGTGGAGGGACTTGTCACATGCAGCGTCTCAATGTACAGCAGTGCACACGTCTCCTAAAGACATTCTTTTAGCGCCAGTTTTGAAATGTCTTTTTGTAGCAATCCGATTTCTTCATGAGAAATTTGAAATCCATAGTGTTAGAGCCAGCACAGAAGAAGAGCCTCAATCTGGGCTGCTTCCTGTTGGCCGTCCTGTAGTGGTTTTGGCACGTCCTCTTGTAGTGCAGTCCGACACAGCGTTCCCTTTATATATGTTTGTTCTTCCTGGATGCTCGCTCATCTAGTCAATAATACTGCTCTCCAAAGGGCCGGATTGCGACGTCTGTTTGGACTCAGTTCTCAGCTTGTCCAGCCCTTGTGTTTAAGGCTCTTTTCCTCCTTCCTGCTCACAGCGGCAGGCTCGTTTGTGTTTTCCTATTGGTCAGATTGAAGTCTCATTACTGCCACTGTTACGTTGGGACGTGGTGGTGATTGGGGCACGGGGGAGGAGGGAAGTGCAGGTGAACAGGAAGAGGGGGAAAACAAAGGGAAGACATGCAGTCAGCTCAGACATAAAGGGGTTACCATGCAGGGTGTGAGCCGGACATAGACATGAGGGGAATAGTGGACATTAAAAACATTATGAACACAAATGCTTTTTTGTAAGAGAGTTACATTTCACAAATTGTAACTAGAGGTTTGGACGAATCAATAATAATGTGAGTTGTTATTTAAAGCTGAGGCATCTAACTTTTATCCATTGTTAATACATGATGATTGTTCCAGCAGAAAGACTCTAGTAAAATTAAAATGCTGTGAACAAATCAGATATCAACATGCTGTCTGTTTCATTAGAAAAACTTTTATCTTTTGCATGTTTTTAAGAAAGAGCTCTGTTTTATTCACTGAGAGCTAAGTCCTCACTTTTTCACTTCTCAGTCTGAAAGCTGAGAAGCTGATCTAAAGAGGCAAGATCAGAGGAAAAACAAATGTAGTGAATTGCATTTAGAGCAAGGAACTAGTTACATGGATTTTATTGAACAGAGAATGGAACTACGTTTTGAAAGTTATGTACCCCAGCTTTAAATCCAAGTGGTATATTGTTTGGTTAGGACTAAGGAACTTTTTATTCTATAAGTGATTTGTTTTATCATATGTACTCCATTGTACAACCACTGTGTTGTAATCAAGATCACATGAAAGTGATCTTTGACACAGTTCATGGGTCCTTGGTTGTGCAAATCATTTGAACTGGAAAATAATTTGCCTAAAACCCTCAAATTTGATTACAGGACTTTCTGTGACATCAAGATTTGATTATTAGATTTTGTCCACTGTTCTTCTGCTGTCAGCACACAGTTACTCATTCCATGCTTATTGATAGGCCTGTCAAGATAACTACTATATCGACCTATTGTTCAATAAAACTGTATATTTTGGGCCTCAAAATGTTTCAGACTGTTCCTATTTTTCATGTAAAATGATTTGACAATTTGACAAAACATGACTAAATTCTGCTGTTTATTTTTTCATCATGCATGTTTTTTAATGAAATTGGTATTTTCTTATCTTGTCTTTATTGTAGTAGCATTGGTGCTAAAGGAATAGGCCACCGTTTTTACATACTGACATATGTTCTTACCTTAGACTAGTTGATATGTACCTGTCTGGTCTTTGTCCGTGTGCTCTGTCATGCAAACGGAGCACAAACGCAGCCTCTTCCACAGACTGTATAGTTCCAAATCAGCTCCTGTTAGAAGCTACCAAACTCTTCCAGGTGTTCCCTATTTAAATACAGTTACGTGACGGCTGCGTTTGTGCTCCGTTTGCATGACAGAGCGCACGGACAAAGACCAGACAGGTACATATCAACTAGTCCAAGGTGAGGTAAGAACATATGTCAGTATATAAGAACGGTGGCCTATTCATTCAAGTAGTGAAATTTAACCCGCAATCACTTACTAAATATATCGTGACAGGCCTACTCATTAATATGCCATGTTTATAATTTGGGTTAAATCAAAAGTCATTCACTACTTACTCTGAGTCTGACTCGTTGCCTCCGTTCACCGTCCCGGACTTCAAGTGCATGGCCAGGTCCCCGTTGGTCTCCCTGTAAATGGCCGTTGGAGGACGCCCCGCGGGGTACTGTGGCCGGGGGGCAATGGGGGGCTTGATTTTAGTGCTGTTGTCGTGGTTCCCAGTGCTGTTGCTGTTGCCATGGATCCCGGTGCCGTTGTTGCCGGTGCTGATGCTGTGTTCGTGGTTCCCGGGCCGTCCCGAGTCCGAAGTGATGGAGGGAGTCCTGGAGGGGGGGGTCATGATGTTGACTGAGGCGGGGGGAGGCGAGCTGCTGTTGTGGTTGATGGGAGGTGGAGAAGTGATGGTCGGAGAGTTGTAGTCGCTGAGCTTTTCCCTCAGACGGTTTTTCATGTTTTTGTCCGACAGGGGAGGAGGGTAGCTGATCTTGTTCTTTAGTATACCTGGATTAAATACACACACAGTTTTTTTAACGTAATTCTTGCTCTTACTCTAATTATTTCCTTTTTATGCAAAAGATAAAGATTTTATACTGCTTTCATTTTATGCTAGAGTTAGAAATGTTATTTTATTTTAATATAGAGTTATTATTTTTTTATCTGTGTGCTCCTCCTTTCTACCATCTACAACTTGTGATGCAACACTGGAATTTCCTTACTGTGGGACGAATAAAGGAATAATAGTGCTTTTAGGTGCTGAGAAAAGACCTCATCAGAATCTTGGTCCACCCTCGAATGGAAAGTTTGAACTGTTACCATCAGCACGGTCGTATAGGGCAGGTTGGGAACTACATTTATCCCAACAGCTGGAAAACACCTCAACAACATTTAGCACTTTATACGAACCACTGCACAGTATATTGCACTTCATGTGTACACTACTGCATGGAATATTTACACTGGGTTTAAACTAGCTTTGTGACATCCCCTTACTATGTTCTATGTGTCATTTGAGATTTTCACTCAACAAATAATAAATCATGCTATATTATATATAAGATTTCGGATTACCTTTCCTCTGCTCCGGTTGGTGGTTGCTGTTGGCTGGTACAGAGGCAGCAGTGGGGTCTTTCACAGCAGGGACTTTGGGTTGTGGGGTGTCTCTGTCTCCGGTGTGGTTCAGTTTGTTGTCTGAATGCAGCTCTACGTTCACCTTAGTCTCCACTCGTAACCTGTCGGCCCCCCCTGGATCCTCACTGTCACTGGCTGTTGTCATCTCTGCCGGCCAGTATGGCTTCACATGATTCGAATCAGCTATGGAAATGTTAATGCGGGAATAAGAAGGCTATTTTCAAACACATTAAAAAGCACCATTTGATTTATTTATTGAGAACTGATATTGGCAAACAGAGTACATACAGAGCTGAATGCGTTTACCTTTAGGCGTGCTGTGGATGGGCCTCTCATTGTTCCACTTGGGTTTGACATCAATATCGTCATCCTCACTATCAGACGAATGGGAAGAGGCATAGGAAGAGCTGTTCTCGTCTCCCGATAGCTCGCTGTCAGAGTCTGAGTCTGCAATGGAAAATTCAAAGAAAGGTATATCACATTCAAGAGGTTTGTTTAAAGTAGGCCAAATTAAAAGTTGTAGTGAAATATAGTGTAATTGTCTTTAAAAAAACTAAAAACAACTAACTACTATCTTGTGGACATTCAAGTTGTCGACATAAAAGAAGATACCCAGAAACAAATCCAATAGTATTTTAAAAACTCATTTGTAAAATCTTTTGGATATCCACCTTAAAGCTGGGGTACCTCCTTTTCAAACCACAAAATGTCCATCCAACAATTTTGTTGCTCTTGGTTTCACGTGCATGCTTTTCTTTTGGCCCCTGTCACATCAGCTTGGTCAGACAATAAAGTAAAAAAAAAAAGAGGACCAATAAGCTCCCATGCCAAAGCGTCAAACAGTGACTTACAGAGCTCTCTCTTACAAGTATTCAAAAGATAACATGTTTTCTAATGAGATGAAGACAGCATGTTGTGGTGGGATTGGTTTACAAAATGTTACTTTTACAAGACTCTTTCTCATAATGGGACAAAAAAAGGTTAGGTACCCCAGCTTTAGGGGACACAACTATGTTACTATGTACTATAAAACCGTAATCTTACCATCTCCTTTTGTCCCGTTGCGATAGAATGGCCCGTCCAGGTCTGTGTGTCCTTTGGCGGTTCCAGACGACACACTGGGCTTCTGACCTGCTTCCTCCCTAAGTACATAAGCATATGTTTAAAAAAGGTAGCTTCTGTTTAACACCTGAAATATTTAACAATAAAAATCCATATTACTACATTTGTATTGGTGTTGAATACAAGTTATTCAGATACATTCTGAGCTACAATGAATACGGTAAAAGAAATTGGACCTTTTCTAACAATAATAATAGTATAACAGATTAAATTGCACTGTAATTCCTTTGTATGCCTTTTTCAAAGTATCTGTCACTGGATAATTGATTGCTTTATAATAAAAACCACACATCATCTAAACAGGTTGAACAGAGATGACAGTAGAACACATTCTGGAAGCCCTTGTGTTCTTGTGCTTTTTAAAGAGACATTAGTGGAAATATCAGATTTGCTGCCAACAGCTGCAGGGACATGGACAGGTATGATCCTATCTCCTTCATATCTGTGGCCTGTTTTCTCTGCTTTCCTCTCAGCATGTTGCAGGAGATTATTTGACCCCAGTGCACGCTCCAGTTACGCTTTTGACAGTTTTATGAGTGGAGGCGCGCAGTCAGACCTCACCTGGGCTGTGTAAATGGGTCGAAAACTACAGGTAAAGATCACACCCATGAAAACCCACCTCAGGAGTGGTTTCAGTAACTTGTCAGGAATTTGGCTGTAAAAAAAAAGGTCTTTTCCTTTTTAATCTAATTCGCATGAAACTGAAAAGACAGGTTACTATTTGCTGTATACAATTTTGATTGGTGAGATGCAACCTGGAACTATATTTATGATAGTTTTGAATAACTCAACCTGCAATTCATCAAAACAAAAAGTTCAGGAATTGTTTCAACACATCAACACAATTGATAATTGTTTAATTTTGGTGATTTTCATTTTTTCCAATGCGCACAGACAGGTTCCTTGCTGTCCTGAACCTGTTTGTGTGTATTATGTCTGTTCCATTTTTTTTTAATTAAAAGAAAAACCTCCACCACTGACACTGTCTGCTGTCGTTGTGTCCTTGGGCAAGACACTTTACCCCACTTTGCCCATAAGGAGTGCGGAAGTAACTGTACGCTGCATGCCTTGATGTGTAAATGTGTATTCATCGAACTGAAATTTCCCCACTGTGGGACGAATAAAGGATTATGTTCTTCTTCTTCTAAATAAGATATCATACTACAGCTAAATCATATATTTGATTAAATCACTCATCCTATGTCATCAATAAGTAAATAATACACAAAACCATATTTCAAACACCAACGTTGTGACAGTGAAATAATAGCACTTACTTAGGTACATTTAAAAACATATTATATGTATTTATGTAGTTTGCCACATCCCAGCTTCATGCACTGCCTGACATAGAAAACTGTATATGTTAATTGTCTTTGTATAACAAGGAATAGCATACACGTATCAAGTAGAAAAAGTCTCGGAAGTGCAAACCAAGATGAGCTCGTGTGAACTTTGAGTGCAGTCATTGTTAGTTTTGAGTTAGTTGGTACATTGGGAAAAGGGCTTATTTTTAAAGTCCTAAGCAGGCGTAAACACATTAACATATGGGTAGTAGAAGCGCCATGCGGTCAGTGTTTTTGTGTGGTACCTGAGCATGTAAGCCAGATAGCTGCTGCGGCTCTTGGCTGACCTGAGCGTACTGTCCAGAGAAACTGTGGATTCACCAAACCCAGAGCGAAACAGGCCGTCCTCGTGGTATGTGTTGTTACAGTTTAATGAGCGCTGCAAAAATAGTAAATTAACAATATTTCAAATTTGAATCAAACCGTTCGAACACAGGAAATGCAATGATAAGGAACACATAGGTAGCAGGATGACCAATGTATATAAATGTGAACAAATGACTTTCAATGTAATGGATCATCATCACTGTCCTTAGACCCGTTTACATCAGCAAGGAAAAACTCTGAAAAAAAATCCAGTGACAAAAAACGGGGAGGCCCACAGGATTCACTCCCACAAATGCACAGGCTATAGTTAGAGGACTCACAATAATGAATAGGGGAGATATTATGCAAAATTGTTTTAAGCTTTTGAAATCATTGCAGCACTCCCTCACCAAAAACAGACCTGGATTTTTAGCTTCATCCTAATATCAGGAACTTCAGACACAAACATAACAAACTTTGTCTAACCTGGTACGCTATCATGATTTGCTTCATTTTAATACAAAAGTAATGCCTTCAAAATATTTTTGGTAATGTCTCCTGTGAAGTCTTGTTTGCTGAATTGACCACATACAGTGTAACATACTGAGACCATTGTGTTATCTTTTATTAATTTATTGGTATATTTCTACTTAAGACATTAGTTAATTTTCTAAAACATGAAAATCCACATTTAAGGGCATTTAATAATCCATGAGACAGGTGAAAATTGGAATATTGTTCAAAAGTTCATTCATTGCTTTCATTCAACTTACAACATGAAACGAACATAGACTCATCACATTGCAAAGTGACATATGCCAAGCTTTTGTTTGTTATAATTTTTATGATTATGGCTGACCGTCCATTTTAAAAAATATCTCAAAACATCATAAATATTTTTTGGAGATGTTTTGTTTGGGGGTTTTACATGCTGTGAGCCAATTAGCAACATAATCAATAATCAACAAATAAACGCTTCACTGTCACTTTGTGGGTAATAAGTTTAATTGTAAAGTAAATGGACTTTTGAAAGATATTCTATTTTTTACGACAGTAGCTCAGTTGGTAGAGCATTGGCCTTAAGGCCAGAAGGTCGTGGGTTCAATTCCCACCTCTGCACCTTCTCCACCGACTCCCACTGATGACTGCTGTCGTTGTGTCCTTGGGCAGGACACTTAACCCCACTTTGCCCAAAGCCCCCACTGAAAGATCAAGGCTATGCTCACACTCAGAGAGCAGCCGTCCTCCTGTGGACTCACCACCTGCAGAGGGTCAGTGAGGGGCTGGTGCTATGAGACTTGGGTGGCATCTCTGATTGCCACCCCCCTGACCCAGAAATGGATTAAAGGGTAGAAGATGGATGGATGGATGGATGGATTCTATTTTTTATTTTTTTTAAATAGGACAAGTGTTTCAGTTTACTCACCGTGAGTAAAGAGGCTCGTGCTGTGCTGGCCTCATCAGAGACACTTTTCTTTCCTGTTAAGATGTTCTTGAGATTTGTTCTGATCTCAGCATTGAAGATCACAAAGAGGAAAAAGATGAACACTCCCTGAAAAACACATGCCACAATGTGAAGATCTGGTCTACAATAGAAAAGCAACAGAAGCCACATTTGTATACCTTGGTTTTTTAACACCAACCGAGTTGAACTGATTTTTACTTTACTTGTGTTTGTGTGTATTCCACGGTGCTTGTGTTTTACTTTAATTTTTACTTTTTCTTTTGTGAATGGGAAGCAAATTGCGCAGCTGGTTGATATAGTTGACATTGACAACAAGGGGATTGACAATAACATTTTTGGAATTTCAGAAGTATTCAAACAAAGGGAAGTTTGTACCTGCAGACAGCTGAAACCGGCAAAGAGATAGTGGAAGAGCATTACGTCGCTGTTCACGGCCATTAAACCCAACATCCAAGTGGCACTGATGAGTAACAACAGGATAAAGGCAGTACGGAGAGCAGGACTAGACAACAAGAAAAAAATCACAGTCAAGATACAAGTCCAGTTCAGTACATACAGTACAGCATTATTATTAACAACCATTTAAACTCACATCGCTCTGGATTTCTCTGCAGCTTTTTGCCTTCGCCCACAAGAGGCCTTGGCCGCCAGGATGAAGATCACTATGTTCACCTGAAGCAAAGGAGTGAGGAATTTTGATGCAACCCAATGTTTTTGAATAGGAACAAACTCTTATTTTTTAAAACATACCAGTACGACCACAAAGATGGGTCCCGCAAAGCTCCAGATAAGAGTATCATGAACTGAGAGCCAACAGAAGTCTGGGTTTCCATATCCCTGTGGGTCCAGACCAACAGCAAGACCTAAAACATAAATCACAAAAAATAACGCTTTTATTTCCCTAATAGGAACAAACACATGAGCGTACAAACACTGGTCCAGGAAAACCAACAACTTACTGTAAGTATGGTGCGGAACATGCAAGCACATATACATTGCTTCCTTTGCACTTTCTTTTAACATTGGAACAGAGAAACAAATTATTAAAGATACGATTTAGCCGAAAACTTTTGTTGAGCCCTTTGAATGTAATATGATTGAATACTGAATCAAAGAATGTAGTCTAGGCCTGCACTAGTTGAAAAACACCTTGACCAATTCATTTTGGCACAACAAAAATGAAATTGATTGGATTGTAATCATTTATATTGACAGCCTGGACTTGATTCAAATAAGTCATGTTTTTGTCACAGTGTCTACAATAGGTTTCCCACGAGGATTAGTGTGTCTCCATGTCCCTCCAGCCTGAACATGTTTGCACGTTATAACACGGATGAACACAAATGAAGACGTTCTCACCTGTGATGATGGCGGGGATGCCCCAGCCGATGGCGTAGTAGAAGCGCATGTGTCCGTGGTTTATGTTCCTCATCTCGGTCAGCATCCGGTAGATGTGCAGCCCCTCCACAAACATCCAGGCGAACGTGCACATGTAGAAGTAGTGCAGCAGGATGGCTATGACCGTGCACACAAACTGCAACAAGATACAAAAAAATAATTTTTCATTTAATAACTAATTTAACAACATAATAGTTTATATGAATCACATAAACAAAACAATTCCAAATGTTTAAATGTTTTGGATTTACATAATACATTTTATTGTCGAGTAAACCAATTCTCATATAGACTTCCAAACGTACATTTTCAATGCTCTGTAAATCCCCATCTTTCGTCTCTTTCAACTTTCTTGACACATGTATAAGTTACTGTATGCGTGTAATGTATTCATAATTCAACCCGATCCTCTCTAAATGCTACAGGAATGTTGTGTGTTGGGGAATGTCCCTCTTAGTTACTTCAGTATTCTGCTCCAGAAGTGCGTTTGGTCTGCAGATCAGAGAGGAATACTATCTTGACAGGACAATAAATAATATGGAGATGCCCCCGAGGTTACGATACACTGACATCATTCCTCAATACTGATACCCTTCCACAACTGCTCCAAACACTCACTCTGATACAGCCATGTGGAAAGTAGCTAATTCAATATGTTAAAATGTTATTGGAATCTAATGAAAACTCAAAAGTCCAATCCAGGAGGTTGCGTGTTTATTTGGCTCGCTAAACAAAAGATACATTAAAGTCTCAACAACAGTCATAACATTGTGAGTCATGTAACTGCTGTGGATATACATGTGTCGGCAGCACTTGCAGGATTCACCAAAACGCAACTTGTGGAATGAGATTATTGTACGCTGCATTTGTTTGTCACAGTTCATTTAACACATTACAAACTTCGACTGAACTTCAAACTGAACAGATTCATTTCAAAGCCAAGCGTGTGTTGAGTGCCATCTCATGAGATTTATTAATATCAGTCTGTTTTTTTTTTTTACAAAAACGTTTGACTAAACTCCCTGGATACTTTCCAAGAACATCTGTTTACCAATTGTAAAGCAGTGCTCAGTCAGTGGCCCGTGTGCATCACAGAGGATGTGTAAGACTTTTAACAATGCAGACATCTGCTTCAACTAGTTAACACTGACACACTTTAAAAACAAGGATCTTTCTCCAAACCAGGTCTGAACTGGAACTCAAACAGGATTGCAGCAGAAAGACATGAAACAAATGACAAAAGTAAATGCAGTACACCAGAATCCCAAGTTTTATTAAGGCTACAGAAAGTGGCACAATACCTGCATGATTCCTTATACGTAAACCCATTTACCTGCTTTCATTAAAATAAATTTGTAATCCTATTTTTTGTTTTTAATTTTAAAAAGAGTTGTTAAATAAAAGATAAATAAGTAAAATGTCACCTAAAAACTGGTAACCGAAGCCTGATTCGGGAGTCCGATTGGATAATCTTCTCGATAACCATAAACAGAAATTTTGTGGACATCATGTCCCTTATATTTTTTATAAAGAATCTCTTGTTCAGAAAAGGTCAAATAGGATTTGTAGATGGCTGAAATGGGGACACATAAGAAAGATATAGATGTTATATAAAATTAAGATATACAGTCCCTTTAAGCGCTAACCTCATTCATCACATTATTGAAGCTTCATGAACCACAGATATGCAAAGGATTTAAGTGAAACTAAAAGGTTGTTGTGGGAAACATTTGCCAAACGCCCTGAGGTCTGAGACAGGTTCCAGTCGCGGCACGTCTGGTGGGGCGCTGTGTGGGTCCGAATTACTGTCAGAAGCTCGTAACCACATTCAAATCACATTACTTCTGTCTTTTGTGTGACAGCAAATTAGGCTGTCAGTAGTTTTCAATGAAACATTGTTTTATTCACGTCATTAAACCAGGTTGAGCTTTTAAACTGCCTTGTTATGTGACAGTGGCATAAACATCCAGTGATTATATGTAAAGTAACTCAACACAGCATGAGGTTTGGAAGGTACTGCCGACAGTCAAAATGTTTGTAAGCATTGTCTTTCTTCCTAACTTTTTAAATGATGACAGCTTCGCAAAGGGTTAACAAGGGTTAGGAGAGGACCCTTTCTATGGGCTGAATACTTACAGGGTTATCCGTCTGGTTGATACCCAGCAGAAAAACCAGCTCAGAACAGAAGAGCGCAGCCACAAGGTTCTTGTGGATGGAGTGATGGTTGGAGCGCAGTCGACGCAGGACACACAGAAGGATGAAGGTGAGGAGGAGGAGGAACAGAGACACTGACACTGTGGAGTAGGTGACGATCTTCAGAGGCATCACATCACCGTGCTGAGGTAGAGAGGGACGAATCCATTACACATGTAACTATGATTGTGTAAAGATCTATTCTAATTGTATTATTTCTAATGCAAAACTGTCAAATTTATGTTGTATAGCACATTTAAAACAACAGCAACAGTGTAGTATTAGTAGATAGGTTATCCTCACCTCTCTCTTGGAGATATCCATCAACACGGCAAAGCTGGTCATGTGATTACACTGACAGCTGATGTGAGTGTTGTTCCGGTTCAGAACCTCACAGCCTTTAGACGACCAGCCGCCGGTCTCTCCCAGTCTGAACCCAAAACATGGTATTGTTAAATACTAACACTGATAGTGAAAGTGATATATGTGTTTTACTTACGGGATGGAGTGGTCCCAGTACACGCAGACAGGTTTGGTCCTCTCTTCTGTCTCCAGGAGCGTGTACTGCATGGTGATGGGGGGGTCCAGGACAGAAGGCAGGGGCGCATCCTCTGAGTGGACTCTGGCACTCACTATTGCTGTGTTTATCACTGGACGGTTCGGCAATCTGTAGAAATGAATGTAGATGAATGCAATTATTTTTCTAAGTTGGTTGTTTGTAAGAGAATATAGGATGAACATTTTTTTTTTATATGTTATCATCAACTTATACTATAGTACATTTAAAAAAAAAAAAAATTGAAAAAAGGAAGTTCACTATGTAAATTAGCATGTATTAGCAGCATAAAAACAACTTCCTTCAGCTAAACGCAGACAAAACTGAAATGATTGTCTTTGGTCCCCAGAAACAAAGAGAGAGCGTCATCTGTCATCTACAGTCTCTCTCCCTTAAACCTTCAAACAAGGTCAGAAATCTAGGGGTAATACTGGACTAAGACTCAGACTGCAATGGCCTGCTCACAGGTCTCTCCAAACAGGCTGTAAAACAGCTGCAGTACATTCAAAATGCAGCAGCTCGAGTCCTGACAAGAACCAGGAAGTACGACCACATTAGTCCGGTCCTCAGGTCCCTGCACTGGCTTCCTGTGGCTCAGAGAATAGACTTTAAAACAGCTCTGCTTGTGTACAAGTCTCTCCATGGCCTCGCACCAAAATATATTAGTGACATGTTAGTCCCATATGAACCAGCCCGGACTCTGAGGAGCACAGGGACTGGACTCCTGTTAGTGCCCAGAGTCAGAACTAAACATGGGGAGGCTGCTTTTCAGATTCATGCTGCTAAAATCTGGAACAATCTTCCTGAAGATGTGAGACAGGCCTCCTCTCTGACAATGTTTAAAACCAGGTTAAAAACGGTGCTGTTTAGCTGTGCATACAACTGAGGGATTTTATGTTTTATCTTTCCTTTTAATGTTCTGTGATTAATTATGATTTTAATGCTATCTTGTTCAACACTTTGAGTTGCCTTGTGTATGAATTGTGCTATACAAATAAACTTGCCTTGCCTTGCCTAAAGACGTGAACAGAATGGTATAGTTTTTTTAATGTTTATACCTGAGACTCCTCCGGTCGGGGTCATATCGCTCTGGCAATAGTTGCCCCAGTGACTTGTAAACAATCACCACAACAATGGGCAGAGGTTCTGAGGGTTCAAGATGGCGGCGTCTGCGATCCGACTGCGTGGGGTCTTCATCTGGGGTGGCTTCTGTCTGCGCAGGAGGGGCTGCAGTGGGCTCAACTGTGGAACAAGTTGAGCACAATTCAATCTCTTTCAAAAACAATAAATAATCATAATGAATGACAATGTTGAAAGCATATGGTTTATATATGTTTTGTTTTTTTTCATTAAATAGACATCGCCCTTGAGATCCAGTCTGAACTAGGGCATGGATGAAAATCTCCAGTGAACTAAAGACAATTTTGAATTATTTCAGTATTTGAGTAGTCTGCTGGATTAGATTGTTTGGAATATACTGTTGCTGTTCAAAACAAATTACATGTATCCCATAATCACTTGTCTATTATTACAGCACAATTATCTGCGATATTTCTTACCTCTGTTGGCTTGAGTGCGCTGTTTGAACTGAGGGAAGTGCACGGAGGATCCCAGCTCTTTTGGGAAAGTCTCATGGATTTCCTGAAAGTTAGGAAATGTGGCTCTTTCCGGATCTGTGACGTCCAAGTAATCCACGGTCAGGACTGAGGCACACGGGGACAGGAAATGCAGAGAAGGCAGAGAATACAGAGCAAAAGTCAGAACAAAAGACAAAACCAACACAGGTGCTTGAACAGTCTATCTCTCTAGTCCAGGGGTCTCCAAGCTGTAGATCGGGAGACACCAATAGCTCACCATCCCCTTCCAGGTAGCTCGCCAAAGGATTTAGAAATCAAATAATGTACTTAATATATCAGATTGTATCATTCATTATTATTTTTTATGCACTTACTTTGTACACTAGCCATATTTTTCCCAGGGCCGCTTAAATTAGTAGCTCTCTGCCTTTAGCGTCCCAGGAAAGTAGCTCTCTGGGTGAAAAAGGTTGGAGGCCTGCTCTAGTCTATATCTATTTCTTGAGCAATCAGTGTATATTGTCTTGTGACTCACTCATGTTTTCTGTGACAATGGTGAAAGGTTTGAGGTAGGTTTTGCGGACGTTACGGGCCAGGGTGTTGGCGTAGTCCTCAAAGTTTCTGAGCAGATGTGCTGTCCCCCCTCCTGTCTTCTGAATCTGGTCCCAGTGCTCTTTAGTTACCGGGTCTAAAATGGCACTTCCCGCTCGCACCAAGTTCTGAAAAATAATATAAAAATAACAATCAATAAGATGATAAAAATCAACCAAATCAAGTAAAAAAGTATTGTCTTCCACACTGTCATTACCTCATTGAAGTCAGCGTTCTGGGCAGCGGTGAGGTCAAAGCCGCTCTGCTGGCTCTCGTACATAAGCACATGGTTCAGGAGCTGAGCCGCGGTCTTCACATCGTTCCCGTAGTATTCCTGAGTGCTGTCGGTGGCGCTGTGGAGCAAGCGCACGATGGTCTTGGAGTACTCGTTGTTCATCCTGGAAGTGTTGCGACGCAAGTCCTCATTCTACATGGTCAAACAAATAGATTTATTTAATGGCAGGTCGTCTTTTTCAAAACAAAAACCTTCATAGAGATTGGTTAATGCGTTTCTCTTATAGTGTATTGTATTTCTTTTTGTTCAATTGTTTGTCTAATCTGCTGAATTGACAATTTTGTGATGGCCCTAGAAAACAAGATGAAATAACTTTTACTTGTGGGGAAATTTCAGAATCAGTGTTAAGCACCGTACAGTGGGAATAGGGACAAGATAATTAAGCAAAGCAAATATATATTATTTATAATAATACATTATAAAAATGCACTCAGTCTCTCAATCTTTACAGTATTACATAGTCTAAGCTGGGCCATAGGATTTTAGCTATAAATTGCACTTATACTACCCTAAATTGAAGTACAATTAAATAGGTATATATACTGTCTGTGTACTTATTTAACAAAGTGTTACATTGCCCATAGTGATTATAGTGAATGCTGATTTTCGCATATTAAAGGTATAGGAGGATTTTCTACTTCCGGGTCGATCATCAAGACAATTGTCATCCATTCTGGTGATACGTGCTCCACAAATAAGACCAGAGAGTTTTGTTCAAAAAGTGGAGAGGGCGGTTCTTTCCTAAAATCTTCCTAACTACCTTTAATGTCTTTGCGATATAATTTAAGTGCAAATAGTGAAAGGCTCTGTTCTCATTCTTCGATAATGGCAGTGGAGGAAAGGAAATGGGAAAGCTGAGAGGAAGGCGGCATGTAACAGAGCACAAACTGATAAATCCTTGGATTAGTGAGACTTTGTGAAGATCAAGCCTCAAGCATTGTGCTGCATGCTGTTTTAAATACAATCAGTGATATATGATACTTCTCTGGGCTACCTCACACATGCTCAAGTTACACAGGGCTGCCGGGGACAGAACCTCACAACAACACAATGAATGACATGCATTGGACAAGGAACCGTTTCAGAGACCGGTTTCTACACAAAATTATAAAAAACATGATCATGTGACTTGTACTTTTTAGAAACATACCAGTTTTTTGAGATGGGAGAAGGTTACTGTGGTGCAGTTGAAAAGCTCTGGAGCCAACCAGCCGTGTTCATCACTGCAATGACGGATGGCAGTACCTGAACAAAAATGTAAATCAAGCAATTTAAAAAAATACACAAATATTTTTTGTGATGCAGTGATGCAGATATCAGGACAAACCAATGATGGAAACAAGTGAATCGAAAAAAAAATATTATTCATAAACTATGCCCATTATATGATTTATTTAATGTTTTAGAAATAATAATAATAATAAAAATGTGAAATAATATTTTCAGTACACAAAATATAGAGTATAAAGTATAAAGGGTAAAATGTTAAATTCACAAATAATGATAAATAAAACTTGAATTAGAACCATAGAATTAAACAACTATGCTAGAGGAAGAACGGGACAAAAGTGAATAACTTCAGTGTGGGTGGTCATTGAAAAAGGTCGTCACAGCAACAGTGTAAACTGTATCGCCTCAGCTCTGAGTGCAAAGTCGAGAGGAGGGGCTTACCGTCAATTACAAGTGTGCCAACTGAAGTGAATAGTTGGCTGGTGAAGTAATTCCAAAGAGGATTTTTTAATAAAATGCATTATTAATGAGCAGCTTAATGACTAGTTTCTATTTCTAAGTAAATTGAGTGAGCTGTTTTCCCTGATAATGCTACTGTTGCACTCACCAATGGATCCTTTGGGACAGTTCATGGCGGCAGGACGACCAAACTCAGTCTTTGGCCACCAGATTCCTGCATCAAATGCTTTTGGACATCCCGCGTACACAACTATAAAGAAACAGAAGTATATTAAGAAGCTGGTACACACAGAGAGTGTAGTTAATTGTTTTTTCTGTAAGTACTAACTTTATGAAAACTACAGATGTAATTCCCTGGTTAACTATTTGGTGTTTAATCAGTCTAAATCTTCCCTCTTTTTAATGTACTTGTTTTGTTAAGAACTTTAAGCTTTCATGTACAGTATATGAACTGTGCAATACAAATAAACTTACTTTGCCTAAATGGTATAAACTATACAAAAACACAAGACAATGATCTTTCACCTAAACTAAGATTATGTTATAAGGCCTGTTAGCCTCCATGCAGGTCCAGTTCCTATAGTTTGTCACTGACTGGCTCATTTAAACTCCATCCACGTCTGTGTTTTTTCTCTACAGTAACGTCAGCTTTTGGTTGGGAAGTGGCTCTGTGCCTCGTCCATTTGTACTTTAGTGTATGGGACGTCCCAGAGTCAGGGAGGACCAGGCCAGACTGTGCTCTTCTGGGTGAATGGTCCTGGACAAAGACCAAATCAAGACCCAGAGCAGCACCAGCAGATGGAAGCAACACTGAGTTTGACACTTGAGACAGTTCCCCAGACTACACTTTGTGAACCAGAAAATATTGTACTATTGTGTATGAGGATGGGTCTCCATGCTGCTCTAATCAGGATTGGACAAGCTCATAGTCACATTCTATCAAACTTGAGTGATGAGAATTGGCATGTGCTATTTTAATATTATTGGCACGATTAGCCGAATGAATGGCATGTGACAACGTTTTACACATTGTAATTACATTGTTTACAACATACTTGGCATAATATTGTATTAGTATGGTGTATAATGAGTAATCTGTGTGTAGATTTTGGCTCTGATTTATGCAATTTCTGAGCTTTGAATGAGTAATAATTCCTTACAAAATGTGAATACTATTGTCTAAAGAAAAACTAAAAGCCACCTAACTACTAGCCTGGCCATAGCCATCCGTACACTCCGCTCAATCATCATTTCACTGCATGTAACCGTCTGGGTCTGGTCCCTGTGTTAGCGATTACAATCGGTCGTATTTCGACCGTCTACTCAGAGAGCGCGGAAGGCGGGTGTTGTAGGTCGGTGCCGGTGACGTCAAGAGTTCGCGCCGAACGGGCAGGTTGTAGTTTGGCAATGGCGAAGAATGCGATAGTAAAGTGATCCGGTCTGGTTCTGTCAAGAAAATGAAGCCGGAGCAAGAGGAATGTTTAGCAAATGTAATCGCTGGTAAAGATTGTGGCGCTACTCCCAACGGGCTCTGTTAGCGGCAAAGGAGATGGCTAGGCTAAATGCTAACAACAGATTCGGGCGCATTATATACGTCACGGTAAACTCGGATCCAATCGTTTCAATCTGCAACAGGAGGTGACCCTCCCACCTGTTTACAGAGCTCAATGGAGCAAATCCAGACCTTAGTATGAAATGTAATTTGTACTAAGGTGTGGTACAACCAGGCTACCTAACTACATACACCAATGTCTCCCAAAGTGGGGTCCGCGGCCCCCTGGTGGGCCGCGAGGGTACTGCAGGGGGGCCGCGGGAGGTCATAAAAAAAATAAAAAAAATAATATTATTATTTAATGTTAAATTTATAATGTTTTGTTTGTAATATTAAAATATTTGTGTTCATTATTTGACTTGAATAATCCACTGTAATCATTTTTGTATTACAATGTTTGTAGCAGAGGCTATTTCCCCAAAATAAAATAACCAGAAGAGCCTATTCTTAATGTTGTCTTCTTGGTTATTATTTTGGGGGGCCACACAGACCCGACAGATTTTTAAGGGGGCCTCGGTGTTACTGAGTTTGGGAATGGCTGACATACACAATTGCACTGTATTTTCTATTTGTACAGTATTTTTCCATTTGAACTCATACCTTCACAGCCGGTGGCGGTGACCTCGGCAAATGGATTGTCACACTGGTTACACTGACGCCCCACTACTCCTCCTTTGCAGGGGCACTGTCCTGTTTGCGGATCACACGTACGAGATTCCGAGCCCAGGAAGAAGCAGTCGCAGGGATGGCACGTGTCCTCTCCATCAGGACGGAAGTGGTTTTCCTACAGACACACAATAGTTACCATCAATCCTTAGCTGTAATATAAAATGTCTCTCTTCTTGTGGCATTTGTACCTTGCAGCGGCACTCTCCGGTGGTTTTATTGCAGTCTTTGTAAAACCCTTTGCTGGTGTCGCAGTTACACGGGCCACACACAGGGTTCCCCCACCAGCCGTTTGCACAGGGTTTCTTTGCTCTGAAAACATGGATGAAAACAACACCTATTTTGAAATGCTGTCACAAAACACACAGTGTAAGGAACTTGTGAGGAGTCCTGGATGATGTAGTTATTTCATTATTTATTCAAAACTTGCACACCAAAAGACAAAAAAGTGTTTGTGCCTGCGTCTTGACTTGATGGTTGTTTTGTGTTGTATGAAGGAGAGGGGTTGGAACTAACTAAGAGTCTGCTTCATCTAACACACATACAACACACACACACTCACTCCTCCAAGTACTTCAAAAATATATAATTTACCGTTGTTGAATAGAATCATCAAGTAAGTTTTTCAAAAGAATAGCTCCACACACTGAAATACACATTAGTTTTGAAGTAGTTCTAAATACAGGTACTTCATTTATTTTGCTTGCTTTGGGCAGTTAAAAAGGCCCTACCCTGTCTTTGACCCCATGTATTTTGTTACATACACATTTATGTCATTAACTTCACCTCATCTGAACCTGGTTCCAGACATGAAACCCAAAATATAACCTTTTTACTTTTGCGTTATCCAGCCAATCTCACCTAAAAATTTGGTTCTAACGTATCTGAAACCACATGTATGTTAACATTCCAATGGCATAGAGGACATCACTGATTGAAGTGGTACTCACACATGCTGGCAGTACTGTCCGTAATAGTTCTCTTCACATTCACAGGTGTATCCGTGTGAGGAGCTGGGCTTTCGGACGCAAGTGGAGACGTGTTCACATGGGTTCAGTTTGCAGGCGTCCACACAATCTTTGCCAAAATAACCTGAAAAAATATCAAATGTATATATATGTGAGAGTAAAGGTTTTAGTTGTTGGTTGAGCCTTTGGTTACTTTAGGGCTATCTAGTACTTTCTGAACAATTCTCCAATATTGAAGATGAGATACATTAGCTGAAAAGAGAATATGAAACAAAAGATATAGATGTAATAGCTTTATGTATCCAGCATTAGCTACAAATGGATGATGATAGACAGCACAAGTATTAGTTATAGAAGCATCTGATCTGATTCAGAAATACAGATCTGTAATGTGGTAAATGAGTATTGATCATATAATAATCATAACAATGATAGTAAATGTGAAAGTGTCCAAGAATTCGAATGCCTTCTTACCAAGATCAGTTTTTATACAATAAAAGCAATTCATCCTGTGATTGTGTATTTAGAATGCCCAGTTGAACAAATGCCAGAATATCCGTTTTCCAATACCCTTTATAAATAATTTGAATACAATGTAGCTCTCTACTTAAAGACAGCAAAGGCCAAGCTAGGTTTTCACAAAGTTACAGGCATGACTTTTGAACCCGTTGCCTGTGACAAAACAGAGGGCACAAATAATATCAACATAATCTAAAATATATGTATGCTTTTGATATGGTTTAGGCTTCTGTATGAATTAAGCGTGCATGTACATACCTGGGTCACAGACACAGGAGTGGGTGATCCAGTCGTCGCTGCAGTGGCTGTTCTCTGGACAAATGTTGGAGTCACAGGGGTCCGAGATGTCACAGCCCTCATCCACATGGACCTTCATCCCCAGAGCCATGTTTACGTTCGACGCACTGGACGGAGTTTCCCCCACTCGCACTCCCTGAAAGAAAAACATTGATTTTCAAATAACTATCTAACAATTGATGGACAGTTGATAACAACAAATTTGCACTGTGTAAATAGGAGACATTTTAACACAGAGCACTATTTGGCAACAGCAGCTGCAGGTCTTAGTTCCAACACAGAGCACTATTTGTCAACAGCCACTGGACACAAATGAAAGCTAATAGAAGAGCAATAAAAATGCTCTTCTATTAGCTAAGTTATTTTTCTGATGATTATGGCTTACATTCATTTGTCTAAATATTGTAGTTTTCTTATGTTAGTTTCAGATTGTAAGTTTAATTACAGAAGAAAATTTACTTTTGAGGGGTATTCTATTTTTCAGATTTTCACCTGTACAACACAACAAACTCTGAAGAAGTAACAAAAAGACTTCTGTGCACATAAATAGAAGTGACTATAACGTTATCATGTGAACAATAATTGCATCCAAATAATTTAGTGAAGCATGTGTGAAGTAAACAGACCTGCATGCAGCCCACAAATCCTCTCTGGACGTGGTTGTCTTCTCCAGGTAAACCTCCAACGTATAGAGTCTGCAGCTTCAGGCCCGGGAGGTCATTACCGATCACCATAGATCTCTGAACGACAAAGACACAATATACGCATACAGTATTGAGGCCTCCCAGTCCCATTCCTGTCCCAGTTATGTTACACAAACATAAATCAGTGATAATTCTACCTTGTACATGCCGTAGTCCAGAGATGCGGAGATGATGTATTTGATAGCGTTTCCGTCTTTCACGCTGCTGAGCTCCATTTGCAAATGGTGCCACTCTCCGTCGTTCACTCGGATTTGAGAGAAAACCAACGAGGCCACAAGCTGCTGTTTGTGCAGAACCTCCAGACGCACATTTTGATCACTCATCTATAGAACAAACACAAAGATTGAACATAAAATAATGTATTTGTGTAAGCCCTCAGTCGTACAGGGATTAGTCAAAGCAAAGGAAGGTTTCTCACCCATCATCTGTACTTCTTAGCAAGTTTTCCCGACGTTTCGTCCTCAACCTGGGGACTTCTTCAGGGAATGAATTCTCGGACCGCGCGTTGGAGATTTATAACCTATGGGTGTGGTAAGCCACACCCTAATCCTGATACTAACTCGTGAACAATCTCAGGTCTGCTTGATGTAGAAGGGGAGCAGGTCTAACGACCCTGCTGAGGCTAACGACCCTAACTCCTTAGCATGTCACAGACCTATTGTCTGCTGGGATGCTCAAGTGGAGTGCAGGTCTCACCCCTCCTAACTCATTAGCATGTCACTGACCTTGTCCCAAGTTAGGGCGTTGTTTTAAGGATGTCGTCATAGATGCGAGGCAAAACAAATCTTAACCCTCCTCCTCTGTTAAGAGAAGGTTTTTGTTTCCTCACAAAAATGGCTTCTTTCACCCCTCTCTCAAACCAATTCTTCTCCCGAGCCAGAATTTTAACCTCTGTGTCATCCACCGTGTGGTTGGAGGCCTTGAGGTGGAGATGAACAGCCGACTGTGGCCCACTAGAGTTTTCTCTACGATGTTGGTAAAGTCGTTTCTGTAGAGTTTGTTTGGTTTCTCCAATATAGTGGTCAGTGCACTCCTCTTCACTACATTTAATTGAATACAATAATGTTTGTGTCTGGGTGTTTTGTCTTTGGGATGCACTAATTTCTGTCTTAACGTGTTGAAAGGTTTGAAATACACAGGGATTTTGTGTTGCCTAAAGATTCTTTGTAGTTTCTCTGAAACTCCCGCCACATACGGTAAGGACACCCCTCTCCTCCTACTTTCTTCTGTCTGTAGGACTGTGTCTCTGGCCTTTCTCGTCCTTTGGGCTTTAGTAAAAGACCACTTGGGGTAGCCACATCTGGAAAGTGCTCTCTGAACATGTTTGGTTTCTCTGTTCTTTCCCTCCGAGCTAGTGGGGACCTGGTGGGCTCGGTGTTGAAGCGTTCTAATGACCCCGAGTTTGTGTTGTAGCGGATGATTTGAATCAAAGGCCAGGTACTGGTCAGTGTGAGTGGACTTTCTGAAGACCTCAGTCTCTAATTGTCCGTTCTCCAGTATGATGACCTTACAATCTAGAAAGGCGAGTTCACTCTCCTTAGCATCCTCGCGAGTGAAATTTATAAAAGGGTCCACCGAGTTAATGTGTGCTGAAAATGGTTCCACTTCCTGTTTCTTTAACTTAACCCATGTATCGTCTACATATCCAAACCAATGGCTTGGCGCTGTCCCTTGGTAAGAGGCCAGGGCTTGTTCCTCCAGTTTCTCCATATACAGATTGGCCACTATAGGAGAGACTGGGGAGCCCATCGCACAGCCATGAATCTGTCTAAAGAAGGTGCCTCTAAATTGGAAATACGTGGTGTTAAGACACATTTCAAGTATTAATTAATTGGTGTTAAGACATATTGAAATGTGTCTTAACACCACGTATTTCCAATTTAGAGGCACCTTCTTTAGACAGATTCATGGCTGTGCGATGGGCTCCACAGTCTCTCCGATAGTGGCCAATCTGTATATGGAGAAACTGGAGGAACAAGCCCTGGGCTCTTACCAAGGGACAGCGCCAAGCCATTGGTTTCGATATGTAGACGATACATGGGTTAAGTTAAAGAAACAGGAAGTGGAACCATTTTCAGCACACATTAACTCGGTGGACCCTTTTATAAATTTCACTCGCGAGGATGCTAAGGAGAGTGAACTCGCCTTTCTAGATTGTAAGGTCATCATACTGGAGAACGGACAATTAGAGACTGAGGTCTTCAGAAAGTCCACTCACACTGACCAGTACCTGGCCTTTGATTCAAATCATCCGCTACAACACAAACTCGGGGTCATTAGAACGCTTCAACACCGAGCCCACCAGGTCCCCACTAGCTCGGAGGGAAAGAACAGAGAAACCAAACATGTTCAGAGAGCACTTTCCAGATGTGGCTACCCCAAGTGGTCTTTTACTAAAGCCCAAAGGACGAGAAAGGCCAGAGACACAGTCCTACAGACAGAAGAAAGTAGGAGGAGAGGGGTGTCCTTACCGTATGTGGCGGGAGTTTCAGAGAAACTACAAAGAATCTTTAGGCAACACAAAATCCCTGTGTATTTCAAACCTTTCAACACGTTAAGACAGAAATTAGTGCATCCCAAAGACAAAACACCCAGACACAAACAGAGCAATGTGGTGTATTCAATTAAATGTAGTGAAGAGGAGTGCACTGACCACTATATTGGAGAAACCAAACAAACTCTACAGAAACGACTTTACCAACATCGTAGAGAAAACTCTAGTGGGCCACAGTCGGCTGTTCATCTCCACCTCAAGGCCTCCAACCACACGGTGGATGACACAGAGGTTAAAATTCTGGCTCGGGAGAAGAATTGGTTTGAGAGAGGGGTGAAAGAAGCCATTTTTGTGAGGAAACAAAAACCTTCTCTTAAACAGAGGAGGAGGGTTAAGATTTGTTTTGCCTCGCATCTATGACGACATCCTAAAAACAACGCCCTAACTTGGGACAAGGTCAGTGACATGCTAATGAGTTAGGAGGGGTGAGACCTGCACTCCACTTGAGCATCCCAGCAGACAATAGGTCTGTGACATGCTAAGGAGTTAGGGTCGTTAGCCTCAGCAGGGTCCTTAGACCTGCTCCCTTCTACATCAAGCAGACCTGAGATTGTTCACGAGTTAGTATCAGGATTAGGGTGTGGCTTACCACACCCATAGGTTATAAATCTCCAACGCGCGGTCCGAGAATTCATTCCCTGAAGAAGTCCCCAGGTTGAGGACGAAACGTCGGGAAAACTTGCTAAGAAGTACAGATGATGGGTGAGAAACCTTCCTTTGCCATAAAATAATGTAATTTCATCGTCAGAGTACTTATTTTTACACACAGAGGCAGAAGCCAAAATATGATAAAATAAAAACTCACTCATCACAATCAATTTGCAAAGTTGTTGTCAAGTTTTCTATTTTCAAATTATAACGTCAAAGAGCCTGGGGATATCTCAAATGTACAGTTCATGCAAGGCAGCCCAGAGGAATGGGCAACTTTACCATCAGAAGGAGAAAGAACTTCTTCCACAACTTCAACAAAAACTGTCATACATGTTAAATGGGAAATACACACTATTGAGAACAGGAGGATGGAAAGTTCTAATCCTGATCATTTGAGTAGTTTCAGTCACAATGAGTGGATACAAAGTGTTTGCGTTGTCTCATAATAATCTCTAAAATAATACTACAAACTTTTTTCACAATTTAAGGCTGGCTGTTTAAACTTTCAAGCACAAATATATATAAACATTGTGCTCAACAGTTATTAAATAATACTTAATTTGCGCTTATGTGTAAAACATTTTTTTTTTAATGACTTTCCCCAATCTAAAAAAGCACACTGCACAAAACTGAGTGCAGTTTTCTCCACAGTTGGATGAATGCCATAAACAGACATCCTCAATGTCATACAATCATACTTATTATCATACATTATGAAAGAGATGTTTTGAAATAAACAGCTGTTTTACAACCATTCACAATCTATGTTTTTATTTAGTATGTTATTTACAAAAAGAAAAGGGGCGACAGTAGCTCAGTTGGTAGAGCATTGGCCTTCAGGCCTGAAGGTCGTGGGTTCAATTCCCACCTCTGCACCTTCTCCACCGACTCCCACTGATGACTGCTGTCGTTGTGTCCTTGGGCAAGACACTTAACCCCACTCTGCCCAAAGCCCCCTCTGAAAGATCAAGGCTATGCTCACACTCAGAGAGCAGCCGTCCTCCTGTGGACTCACCACCTGCAGAGGGTCAGTGAGGGGCTGATGCTATGAGACTTGGGTGGCATCTCTGACTGCCACCCCCCTGACCCAGAAATGGATTAAAGGGTAGAAAATGGATGGATGGATGGATGTTATTTACAAAAAGAAATCTGCTAGCATTGTTGTGACATTGTGTAGTGAAGTCTTCTGTGTCTGAGCGTTTACCATGAGGCTTATGGTGGAGGCGGGACCAGCGTTGGCCTGTAGCAGAGTCCCGGAACTGTGGCGGGTCCGAAACATGAGGCCCACGTACCACGGTATCGCCACGGTGATGTCGGGTTCAGTCCAGGACACAAAAGCCTGGCCGTCAAAAAACTGGGGAGATGGCATCACTGAAGAGAGAAAAGAAAAAAAGAATTTGCAATGATACATTGAGGGTCAACATATTAAGGGGGTGTTTTTTTTTAACCTAATACTATACACTGTACATGAAATCTAAGATCAGATTAAATTGATTTGTTATTAGGTTATAGACTGCATATTTTGAGTGGATTGACCAAGTGCTGACGTCACTCAAATGTTTGTCTTAATGTGGAAGAGGCCGATTGAAGCTAGCTCGAAAAGGCCTTTTGAGCGGGAATGTGGGGCCATGCCTGCATTTTTTTTTGGTAGCAACGACCAAATTACCAAGTGCCGGTCTGTCCCTACTGTTCCTCATCTGAAGTACAATTTCCCCAGTGTCTCACATCTTCCAATGTCGAGATCCACTACTTAATGTTCAGGTTTGGGTTGTTTGTAAACAATTGTAATCTCACAGTAAAAGCATCCCACAATTTTGTATTGGTTAGGTTTATAACAATTGCGTCACTTTTCAAACATAACTTATCATAAATTATAAAAATAGTTTGCCTAATACTCGGGCAAACATATTTCACACAAATACTTGTGACACATACTGGAAACCTTTTGGTGCTGAGATTAACTTGAACCCCACAGTCTCAATCCTACAGAGCAGATCTTTCAACACCACACATACTGTCTGCATGTCCTGGTTTATAAGCTACATTAAGACCAAGACTGAGGTCCTGGAGGCATGCTGTTCTGTTGAAGCCTGAAAAAATATGTACAACACTGCCATTATCAGACACTTTTCAAACATATTTGAGAAGTTTCTGAAAAGCACTATTATTATCACACAAAAATAAGCAATAGGTGACAAGGAAGCAAATTTTTTATGTCATTTAGTCAATTGTTTTGTTGTGCCTTTGAACTTTTGAATATGTTTCACTTTACATTATTATAGTATGAATAATGTAAAATACTGTATACTTATAGCAAATAATAAAGCAAACATTCTGACCAAAATAGCTCTGCAATCAAGGAAAAATTTCATGTTTAATGAAATCGCCAATAGGACAAGTTTTATTTTTTGTCCATAAACTGGCATTAAGGCAATATTAGTTTCTCAAATCAAGGGCATTTTTTCAAGAAATGTATAATTCTTTCAAGATTACTTCAGCGCAGTAGATACATATCTTAAAAATGATCACAAATCACTCAAAATCACCCATGACCCACTAGTTGAGAACCACTGAGCTAATATACACCTTTCATGCATTTCCATTCTTAATTCGTATTGCAATGATAACATCTTAAATAGCAGCACCTGAAATGACTAAATAAGCCTCAAAGCAGGCATGTCAACAGCCAAACCCCATCTCTTGGACCGGCTGTGATCCTGGGTCCAGTTCAGACACTGGATCTCGGTCCTGGCACAGTCCTAGTCCACCTCTCACACCACAAGGCATCTCTGACTATTCACACCTTCACACATATTGTTTGGATCTGTGCCCCAAAGCAGGAAATCAAAACTCTCCTTTTAAACACGAGGAACCTGAAGCCTCTTTAAAGCTGGCTGTAAATAACAAAGCTGTTGGCAAACACAGGAACATCTCATGGATTTATTATCACCACGCTGAGCTTTCAAAGAATCTCCACATGGCGCACTGTACGGGGATAAAGGCATGACAAAGGCAACCGCAAATCACAAGAAGAAAGGGCTATGTATGTACGCACTGTAAGTTGGGGATAGGGCAGTGATACACATTCATATAATAGGAGTTGATTATGGATTAACTATAAATATACTAGGGAGAACAACACTTGGACTGCTGTGGAAATAAACTGAACCAAAAATTAAGCCTTTTTGGCACCAGTTCTTTCAAGAATGGAATGTGAAACAGACATAAGTTGAATCCCTCAAACAAATACAGTAATATAGCAATTAATATGTATAGTACAAAAAAAATGTTGTATTTATCTTCTTCTTGTATTTCTGCAAGGGTCGGTGTAGAGAAAGTGTCCTGAACTCAGAAACGCATTTGGCGATTCTGCTAATTTGGAGCTGAAAGGGTCTACTAAATCGAAGCCAATATAAAAAAAATTCAAACGTATTACACAGCTGCAATGGAGTTGCATTTCTGCACAGACGCTACATTATACATTGGCACCAATGTATAATGGCAGATAAGGAAAAAACATTTATATGTGACTTATTAACATGTGAAATTTCTATTTGTAAAATATGTTTAATGCAGGCCCACGTTCAAAAGCAATCAGATTTGTGTCAATTAACTACATCAAAGACTGTTTTTTCTAGTGTGATTCTAGAAATCTAACACTGGTTCAATGAAACATGCAAATTTCAAATATTTTCAAGTATCAGACTAACATCAAGATCAAAGACGAGGGACATGTAGACTTTTTGTTTATATCACATAATATTTCAAAACATTTGTGTTACCTCATATTTCATATATAGGCTATTAGTATTAGCTTCATGTACTGCACTGTTGAGCTGTCTGTAGCATTCACTGCAGACTTGTGTGTGATGTGGCTTGTTGGAGTTTGTTAGTATAGTTTTTTTCCATACCTTGTTCACAGTTCTTTCCTCCGTATCCGGTGGGACACTCGCAGCTGTAGGTGTCCCATCTGCTGTGGCACGTCCCTCCATTCTGACAAACATCGCTGTTGCAGAAGTTGTTCTTTGCCGTGCATCCTAAACAACGGGACCGCAATCACTTACAGAATGTTTACTCCAAATACTAACATGCAGAATACATGATTTAAATACAGGATGTCCAGAGTGACGTACCTATGGCTTTTACTGAAATTAAGATACATCTTTTGGTTTAGATTTGGTTTATTTTCCTTCCTGCATTGCAAAATAATGACACACTGGGGAAAAAAGTATTCTAATGCAATGACTGTATTATTATCATCATTAATTTATGTGCAATATGAAGGAATTCCCCTTAGTGTGATGTCATCCTAGAACTTCCAGTCGTGTTTAACATAATTTAAAATGGTGTTCACAAACTGGCCTGACTGATGTAAAACTAATCATATTTAATTAGTTATGTTTACAGCAGGTATTGTCTATCTAATCTAATGACGATAAGCCTAACTATTACAATAAATCTTATGGAGAGTTGTAAATCTGTTTTATTAGACAGAAGCCTATCTGTGAGTCTGACCTGGAGTGGTGCCGTTGTTGGCAATGTATCCGTCCATGTCCGTGGGTTTGCTGTCGATGCTCAGGTTCCTCATGCAGCCCACAAAGTCCCTGTTTTGCACCGGGAAATCCTCCGGGAGGTTGGGGACCCCACCCAGCAGTAGGGGTCCAGTCAGGTCCAGAGATCTGCAGATCACACAAGGACATTTACCATTTTATATGAATGTATACAATCATTGTCATTGAACATGTAAGCTGCTTTGTACAAAAAAAAACACATGTTGTTATTTGTCATCCGACAAATATGAGTCCAGAGTTTTACATTTGATAACCACTGCATTACATTTTTAATTGCATGTTATTAATTAGTCAAAAAGGCCATTCAAGGTAACTTTCCTAGCACAGAAGAACCTTTTATAATCATATCAAGTATGAGCTACCGTAGAAAGCAATTTCACTAGTGCATCAATGGGTCTATTGAGTATTTTATATTTGCTTTGAGAATGTAATATGAAGTAAATCAGTTGAATCTAGTGCTCTAAATACAGTAGCAAAAATGGACAATCAGAAAATAATTCAACATTTTGATAGCATTTTGTTGGAATGATATGGAATGTATATATAAACAATATATGTGACAACAAAAGTGATTTTAAGAAACAGTTGAAACAGTGGGTGCACCAGAAGAAAAACATTTACAGTAATGTTTCTGCAACGTCAAAATAAACCCGCCTGCAGTAGTGTTGCAGTTTTAAGGAGTTGTACAATATTTACCCACAGCATATGTACATTTGCGTATTTACATTAGCGGCACAGAAAAAAGGATACACCTTGCAAGCCTCCTCTGGCCTCTTTGACCTGAGAAACTCGTTCTTAGAGGAATGTAACCTTATTAACTCTCTTCTGAAGCACCGCCCGGCCCTCAGCCTGCCCTCTGCACACTCAATCTGCCTGCGCACGCTTGCCTTTGACTACTGCTAATTTATTCAGGAAAAAACTGTCAAACCTGAAAAAATGAAATTCATCTTTCTACATATAAACAGAGAGAAAGCTGAAAGGAAAATTAATTGATAACGCTTTCCTTAAGGAAGTAACTGCATGAACCTGGATTAGGAGTAGGCTGAAAGAAATGTCAATGTTTCGCAATAGTAATTCTTGCAGTATTCTATAATAGGAAGGAATTGATGGAATTAAGGCATTAAATCAGAATAGTGAACTGATCTCTTCGGTGATATTCTAAACTTCAGATATAATTTACATACATAGCTTTTGTTTATCTTGTAATGGTTTAGGTTTATTCCCTGTTTTGTTCCCTTGGTTCTACTTCCTGTCGCGTGATGATGTAGCCCTTTAATCCCTGTTTTGTCATTGTCATTTCCATGTCTTGTTTAGTTCTTGTCTTCATCCCTAGTTACCTTTTCTATATTTACTCTGCATTTTGGATTTGGTTTTTGCTTTGATGAAATAATATATTTTTCTAGTCCTGCATTTTGGGTTTACTGAATTTTGTGTCAAGGCAAATTTACACTGCAGGCGTAACAGAACGTAAGCATTGTCGCGCAGCATATACGTGTATTTTTTCTTTTCTTCTTTTAACCTATGGTCTTAAACTAAATACAGTGACATGTGAACATTCTGACGCTGATAACCTAATTGGCCAAAGGCTCTATTAAAATCCCTATAAAGTTACTATTTGGGCTGGAAGATGTGACAGAGGCCTAATAACTTATGCAACCAATTGAGGGGAACTCAATAGATAGATTTATTACGTATTTAAAAATATTTTGTGTCACAAATACTGCTACACTTGGAGCAGTTTGAAAAGTATAGAACAAAAACTCCAGTCATGAAGTTATATGTTAATATTCAAAACTTCACACGCTACTTTTTTTGCTGCATAATATGACATACTTTTTCTGTCCCGTCTGCGTTCCTTGTGCGGCGCAGGAGTAGTTTCCGATTCGTTTCCCAAAGCGGATTGCCATAGTAATGTCACAGTCGTCAACGGCAACCACGGCCACCTTCTCCCCAGACGGGCCGTGAGGGAAGCCCAAGCGCCCAATGTTCGGCTGAAACACACAGTATCAACACAACTTATTATTAACACAAAATAGCATGATACATGAGCAGTCATGACTTGTTCGGATGGTCAGAAATATAAAACAGTCGACCTCACTGGTGTACGCTGCTTTAAGAGACCTGAATCCCTGCTATTGTTAACTTCTACAGTGAAACTTGTAGTAAACGGAATAAAATTACATAAACAGGAAAACATTTCTTGATATTCATTTCTATATATTTTAAAATATATAAAAAACCATATGGCCACATAAAAAGTGTTAATAATAATTGGTAATAATCACTGTGGTGATTATCGTAAAAACTTTTCCAGAGTTACATGTTTTATATTAGATTTGACTATTTATGATTTTATGTATCCGTCTATTGTCTGTGTTCCAAGGAATAGCAGGCCCAGACATAAACATTTTAGATAATTACTGGGTTTGACAGTCAATTAATATATATGGCTTTGCAAAATGTTAAAAAGTATGTCTAGTTCTACCCCTTTTCCTCGTCACATGTACAGTATAACTGCTAAAACAAATCTGCTATTTGTCTTGCAAAAGGAAATTAATCACAACACATTTTATTTTTATACATGACAAATGACTGAAAACAAAATGATAGCTTTCTGCCGTTTCATTCAGTTAGGACTTGGCACCAGAGCACATGAGCCCAACTGCTTTCTTCAATTGTGTTTCCCATTTGAGCTTAAACAAAGCCGGGGACTCGGAGCAGCAGCCAGGAGACAAGAGTCAGGCCACAAAAAGCCCCTTTGTAGCACAATTCAGGCCAGCGATTACAAAGTGGGCAAATACTTCCATCAGGGCCTGGTGCCGACAAACAAGAGTGCATGTAGATCAGCTTAGGAAAAAATACTGCTTTGTGGAACATTTGACCAAAGTCCACATACTGTGCTCTGAGGTAGTTCTATAACCAGCGGTAAAAATAGATGGTAAAACACAGAAAAAAGGTCTAAACAAAAAAAGTCAAGTATTCTCCTCTTATCTACGTTATATCTATTAATGCGCTTCAGTTGCCAGTTTTCGATAATTTTACCATTCAAAATAATAAGCTGTCTTTTACTATGACAGTTTGATTGATTGATTGATTGATACTATGATAAGAGTACTCTGAAGTCCATGGATAATCTTTTTAATATTCCCCAAAACTTCCAGCGGTATGTAACAGAGCATCCGACACTCTGATATTGCAAAGTGACTCACTCAAATCACCTAATAATAATATCTCATCTATGTTTGAGCGAAGCAAGTCTTGTGATTACAAGTTTTTTTTACGGTGATCTTACTGTTTATATTAAAATTTTAACAACAAAAGGGTCTCTTTTATTTTGTTTTTCACTAAAGAAAACTACAATTGTTACACAAATTGAATTGAAAAAATGTTGAAAAAAGTTTGTGCTGCAGAAGATAGTTTGTGCTGTCTTTTATATAGAATGAAAGACAAGGATCACGCTGGATAAAAATAAACTGCAGGCCGAAGTAAATACAATGTGGAAAATATTGAAGGCTGTTTATAAACTATTGGAAACTGGACTGACTAGAAATGAACAACAAAACAGGAAAGCCAGAGTGGAAAGAGCCAACCTGATGTTTTGAGGAACTTTTTCCATCCTGCATGCAAATATCTGCTATGTCGATTGACAGCCCTAACATTATAGATAAAACATGATCCATGTCATGATGTAATATCATTCAGAAAGTAATAGTTGAAGTGGTATTCACACAATTTGTTTATACACAATTTTTTATCATATACCATTACAAACATAAATGACCTATGCTGTCTGCTACAGAAGCAGAGCTCCCCAAAGAAAACAAAGCCAGAGTTCAAAGCAGCGCAGCGAGTAAAAGGAAAAGGAAACTCCAGAGGAAAGGAGCAACATGCACACAGCTGTCCGCAGACGGCCTTATCCCTAACAGACACGCCACTTCAAATTATAACTGCGAAATATTATTAGATCATAAGATACATGACCAAACAGCTTGTGCAAATTCCTCTGAAATGTGATTATAGACACAGTCACTGCACACCAATTTATATGAAAAGAAGAGTACAAAGAATTAAAAGACAAGGACAGAAGCCCAATTCTGGAAATACGTGTTGTTGATCGATTTGATTTGTTTCCAGTACATCTTATTGCAATGTTGAAATAACCAATATGGCAAATTACAACACCAGCACAATTCAAACTTGTAAAGCGACTTTCTATGTTAAAACGCAACCAACAAACACACGACTGGCTCTCATTCAAAACTTTCAAGGCATCTGATATAGTGAACAATTGTGATTCGTGAGTGACAGAATCACATAGGAGACATAAAGCAGCACTTGCTCTTGCTAAGTCTTGCAGCTGTTCCATGCTAAATATGACTATAGCCTGGTCGTACACTCACATTCAGAGAGGATCAGGCCTAACCCATATATCCAGGGCATGTGAGGGGGTAATAAGTTTGGGATAATAAGAGAGATTTAAACAACTGTAAAGGATTTAGGGATGTACCACGTTGGAAAGACACAGAACACCCAATACTCAGCTTTCACAAAAGTTCGTCTCCCATTACACGTATATGTCATGTATCTGTACAAAGTATTCATGTCGGCATTTACAACTCTGACCTTAGTACATGCTCCATTTAAAATCACTCAGCTATTAGTAGAAATGACCTGGTTATTAGTGGCCCACCCGACTGAGAGTCACAAATGGAAAAGATAATTTAGCTCAGGCCAAAGTTTATGGTCAGACATACAATAGCACATGCAGATGGGGTGTTGTAACTGTAAAACATACCGAGTCAATATAACACATAACTTGATCAACATTTGCTCGGCTGCTAATGAAATTAAGGTGTTGCTTAAAATTCCTGCACTCAATAAACCAGAATATGTCTGTTTTGTAACCGGATAATGGGAGGTAGGAAAGCTGTTCAGTCAAAGTGTGCGTCTGAAATCATGCATTTGTTTGGAAAAGATTCAGTTTTTATGTCTAAAAGTGCAAGGTCAATACGCTGTTTTTCAACCAATGGGAGTATGAATATTCTAAGGTCTCTTTTAGGGAATGAGAGATTTGTATACGTAATATACGGCACCAAATCAGGTTTTTACATTCAATACTGATATCAGCTTTGCCGATCCCCAATATGAACCGATAACAGAAGTAAAAATAGCCATTTCCCAAAAATGTGGTACAAAATGGTTATTGGCTTTAACAACTATATCAAAAAAAGATTATATTTTACACCAGTATTGAGATTAAAATATAGAGATTCTTTATTTGTCCCAAAGTGGGGAAATTTCAGATTAATCTCATTGCATTATATCAATCCTGCCTTCAACTTTATTCTCCTAATACTTTGACTTTAAACTCGACATATGACTTTAATCTCATAGAGTCTGCAAAAAGAAAAAGAAATTGGGTGAGCCAGATGCTAGATGCTCTATCGTAGCAGAAGAAAACAATAAAAACGTAACTTTGCGGTCAGTGAAATAACACAAAGCGATACATTTCAACGCTATCCTTTTCTACAGCCGCGTTCCTCAGAGTAAAGTGTCCACGCTGCTCATGTATAAGTAAGCCAACAGTCTGACTCCGTATTGTCTAAAGTTGCAGCCTTTTTGTGACCCCAGTTTTAAAGTGCACTTGGCCTTCCCTCTGCTGGGCCCCATGAGAGGGTCCTGTTCAAACCCTGGCCCCGCACAGACCCACCGGACAATCCCAGTCCTCAAGGTCTCGTCTCTAAGGTGGTGTCCCTGGAGACGGGAGGCTTGCTGCTGCCATGGAAGTGCACTCGGCCCACAAAACACAAGACAAAACTAAAACGGAGACTAGACAACGCAAAAAACACATTCAGGGAAGATTTCATTACTGATTCCAACCGTATCTGTCACACCTTCTCCTGGTTGTGTAATGTTGCATAGATGTTTATACTTTGCTTGACTACTGCAGTAAATCAAGCAGAGAATAAAATAATCCATGCTTTTGATCTCATCAGAAAGAGTAACATTTTGTGAACAAATCAGTCCACAAAATGCTATCTAAAATAGAAAACATACTGTATACACTGGTAAGAAAGAGCCCTGTGAACCACTACAGTATTTGAGGCTGAAATCTGGGACATCCCTTTTTCACTTTTCTGTCTGAAAAAGCTGATTTAAATATATAACAGAGGCCAAAAAACATGATGAAGAAAAGTAATGATAGAACTTATAGTATAGGTATATAGTTTGAAAGTTAGGAACTCCAAGGTCAAGGCTCAAATAAATACAATGAATTGAATTAACAAGGACTTGAGAATGTCAATGCAATGGAAGTGTAGCCTAGGTAACAATTTCAAGAATATTTTTTTATTGTACAATTTTAATAAATAAATCTAATCTAATCTAAACATCTGTAAAGTAAAGTAAATAACACTCTTGTCTGACTCATTGTATCTGTATTTGTTTGCAAGTCTGCACCTGTATTGTACGTCTATATTTTTCACAATTAGAATAAATTATACTAGCAAAGTAAATAGCAGTGTCTTTTTCCACTGCTTTAAATGTGTGTGTGTTTGTAAACTAGTGACTATTTTTCAAGTTTAGTTAGGCAAAAAAGTTACCAAGTAGGTTTGAATACAGCATCTGAATATTATTTCTACTCTCCCCTTGCATGTAGTTTGCCTGACTCACACCTGTACCTCCTTGCTGCCTGTCATAACCAACATGAGCATCACACAATTACCCCTGCAGCTGGAATGAAAGCCCTGCTCAGAGGGTTGGATTACATGCACCAACACCGAAAGCTTAGTCAAAATCTGTCAAAAAGAGCCGCTAACGACCTCAGAGAATGTGTGCGTTTGAATGAGTCAGGATAACAGCACAAGACTCAAGAACAGGGCAGATATGGCCGATGTGTGTACGAGACAGGAAGTGACCAGTGGACCTGCAGACGCCTGAACACTTCATTTTCATAATAAAGGAAATGGGGCGCACGGCACACTTTTATAGT